AACCCACAACAATTGTCGAATGCACCACAGCGGTCAAACCCAAAGCAAGAGTCTAACATTGGCGTTTGGGGGCCGAAGGCCCCCAAACGCCTCGGGACAACCCACCACGTTGCCGAATGCACCACATTGGTTAAACCCAAAGTAAAAGTCAAACATTGGCGTTTAAGGGCCGAAGGCCCCCAAGGCGAGGGCCGAAGGCCCGAGCATTCATTACATCCAAAACGCAGAGCAATAGTCAAAGGTAGGGCACGGCGGGCCAGAGGCCCGCCGTAGGCGAGGGCCGAAGGCCAGAGCATTCATTACATCTAAAAGGCACAGCAACAGTCAAAGACAATGCACGGCGGGCCTGAGGACCGCCGTTAGCGAGGGCCGAAGGCCTGAGCTTTCATTACATCTAAAACGCAGAGCAATAGTACCCACCACAGTTGCCGAATGCACCACATCGGTTAAACCCAAAGCAAGAGTCTAACATTGGCGTCAAAAGAGTCTAAAGCAAGAGTCTAACATTGGCGTCAAACCCAAAGTAAAAGTCAAACATTGGCGTTTGGGGGCCGAAGGCCCCCAAACGCCTCGGGACAACTCACCACAGTTGCCGAATGCACTACATCGGTTAAACCCAAAGCAAGAGTCTAACATTGGAGTTTGGGGGCCGAAGGCCCCCAAACGCCTCGGGACAACCCACCACAGTTGCCAAATGCACCACAGCGGTTAAATCCAAAGCAAGAGTCTAACATTGGCGTTTGGGGGCCGAAGGCCCCCAAATGCCTCGTGACAAGCTACCACAGTTGCTAAATGCACCACAGCGGTCAAACCCAAAGCAAGAGGCCGAAGGCCGAGGAGTTGGCGGGCCGAAGGCCCGCCGTAGGCGAGGGCCGAAGGCCCGAGCATTCATTACATCTAATAGGCATAGCAATAGTCAAAGGCAGGGCACGGCGGGCCGGAGGCCCGCCGTGCGAGGGCCGAAGGCCCGAGCATTCATTACATCTAAAAGGCAGAGCAATAGTCAAAGACAGGGCTAAACTTTACCGGCGAGGGCCGAGGGCCCGAAGGAATGAAAAGGCAAAGCAAGACTTTACCGGCGAGGGCCGAAGGCCCGAAGCAATGAAAAGGCAAAGCAAAACTTTACCGGCGAGGGCCGAAGGCCCGAAGCAATGAAAAGGCAAAGCAAAACTTTACCGGCGAGGGCCGAAGGCCCGAAGCAATGAAAAGGCAAAGCAAAACTTTACCGGCGAGGGCCGAAGGCCCTAAGCAATGAAAAGGCATGGCTAAACCTTTCTTTACAGGCATCCAAACATTCTAGCAGCGCGCGAAGCGCGCTGCTAGAATGCATTCATTACATCTAATAGGCATAGCAATAGTCAAAGGCAGGGCACGGCGGGCCGGAGGCCCGCCGTGCGAGGGCCGAAGGCCCGAGCATTCATTACATCTAAAAGGCAGAGCAATAGTCAAAGGCAGGGCTAAACTTTACCGGCGAGGGCCGAGGGCCCGAAGGAATGAAAAGGCAAAGCAAGACTTTACCGGCGAGGGCCGAAGGCCCGAAGCAATGAAAAGGCAAAGCAAAACTTTACCGGCGAGGGCCGAAGGCCCGAAGCAATGAAAAGGCAAAGCAAAACTTTACCGGCGAGGGCCGAAGGCCCGAAGCAATGAAAAGGCAAAGCAAAACTTTACCGGCGAGGGCCGAAGGCCCTAAGCAATGAAAAGGCATGGCTAAACCTTTCTTTACAGGCATCCAAACATTCTAGCAGCGCGCGAAAGAATCTTCTAGCCCACAACAGTTGTCGAATGCACCACAGCGGTCAAACCCATCGCAAGAGTCTAACATTGGCGTTTGGGGGCCGAAGGCCCCCAAACGCCTCGGGACAACCCACAACAGTTGTCGAATGCACCACAGCGATCAAACCCATCGCAAGAGTCTAACATTGGCGTTTGGGGGCCGAAGGCCCCCAAACGCCTCGGGACAACCCACAACAGTTGTCGAATGCACCACAGCGGTCAAACCCATCGTAAGACCGAGGAGTTCGGGGGGACCGAAGGTCCGCCATAGGCGAGGGCCGAAGGCCCGAGCCTTCATTACATCTAAAATGCAGAGCAATAGTCAAAGGCAGGGCATAGATCATCCGAGGCCGAAGGACCGCCGTAGGCGAGGGCCGAAGGCCCGAGCATTCATTACATCTAAAAGGCAGAGCAATAGTCAAAGGCAAGCATAGATCCTCCGAGGCCGAAGGCCGAGGAGTTCGGCGGGCCGAAGGCCCGCCGTAGGCGAGGGCCGAAGGCCCGAGCCTTCATTACATCTAAAATGCAGAGCAATAGTCAAAGGCAGGGCATAGATCCTCCGAGGCCGAAGGCCGAGGAGTTGGCGGGCCGAAGGCCCGCCGTAGGCGAGGGCCGAAGGCCCGAGCATTCATTACATCTAAAAGGCAGAGCAATAGTCAAAGGCAGGGCACGGCGGGCCGGAGGCCCGCCGTAGGCGAGGGCCGAAGGCCCGAGCATTCATTACATCTAAAACGCAGAGCAATAGTCAATGATAGAGCAAACTTTACCGGCGAGGGCCGAAGGCCCGAAGCAATGAAAAGGCAGGGCCAAACTTTACCGGCGAGGGCCGAAGGCCCGAGCCTTCATTACATCTAAAATGCAGAGCAATAGTCAAAGGCAGGGCATAGAGGCGAGGGCCGAAGGCCCGAGCATTCATTACATCTAAAAGGCAGAGCAATAGTCAAAGGCAGGGCACGGCGGGCCGGAGGCCCGCCGTAGGCGAGGGCCGAAGGCCCGAGCATTCATTACATCTAAAACGCAGAGCAATAGTCAATGGCAGAGCAAACTTTACCGGCGAGGGCCGAAGGCCCGAAGCAATGAAAAGGCAGGGCTAAACTTTACCGCCGAGGGCCGAAGGCCCGAAGCAATGAAAAGGCAGGGCTAAACTTTTTTCTTTGAGGCATTCAAACATTCTAGCAGCGCGCGAAGCGCGCCCCAAAGCCGATAGGCTTTCCAAAACCAAGAAGTATCGTAACCAAAGGCTCCGCCTATTAAATTCCGTTGCATACGCACTACGCCGCCATCGCATACGTAACTACAGCTAGTTCTCTTTTAAAAAAATATTTTACTGAAAATCTAAAAGAAAAATTAAAATATAAAAAGACAAAACTTGGGGCAACTTTATTTGATGTTATTCTTTCGGGTAAAAATTGGGGGACGCGGGAGGGATATTGGTCATACTAATTCTAGGAATTAACTTGGTTGATTGGTACACACGAGGGATGTTCCTGGTTGAGAAAAAAGTCGTGTCGGGTTTCGGGTCTAAAAAAGTCCGGGTTTTGTGCATCGGGTTTCTGGGTAACCGTGACATCCCTGGCTGACACTAAATATGAGGATTCGAAAAACCGGATATCCAGAAATTTTTGGCTCCTATATTGGATCCGGAAACTAAAATAGTTTCCAGTATTCTAACGTTAGCTATCGTTTAAAATATTTAACAGAATTATTTAAAAATAAACTAGGCTTAATTTTGCCTAATTCATCGAAGCGTATAGCAGATTCGTTTAACTTTTTATTTATCATTTAGGTGTTGCTAATCCAGATTCTGGTATTGGTGTTTACGCACCTGATCAAGAATCATATCATAAATTTGCCGAGTTGTTCAATCCGATTATTGACGATTATCATGAAGGTTTTGGACCAGAAGCAGTACATCCACCGACAGATTTTGGAGAAAACAACATTTCAGGTAATTACCACATAAATATATCATTTAGGTAACTTCATCCCATAGTGGCTATCTAATTAAAAAGCCACCCAAAAATTTAAAAAATTATCTCATATCAGTAGGGGGTTAGGACGTAAAAGTAAAATTTGACAGTTTTAGTGAATTCTCCGATCGGTGAATTGTCCATTCGGGTTAATTAACATACAATAAATTGTCCATTCGGTGAATTATCTTTCGGCCAATCAGTAAATTGTACATTATGTGAGTTGTCTATTCCGTGAATTATCCTTCGGTTCGTTCGGTGAATTGTCTATACGGTTAATTGCTAATATTGTAAAATAATCCAATTTAAAAAACTATTTAGAATTCAAAGATTTGGATCCAGAAGGCAAATATATAATTTCTACTCAAATTAGATGTGTGGCATTTTTAGCAAAAAGTACCTCATTTTTTAGTCATTTTTAAGGAAAAGTAGTACCTTGCTAGATAATTCATAACTCTCAAATAAAACGGTCAAAAATTTTGATTTTTTGGTAAACCTTAGGCAACATTCCAATTTATATTATGGCAAACAAATAAAATTTTTATCTCCATTTTAAAAAAAGTTATAAATTTTTCCCAAATAGGGGGAATGAGAAGCGGGTAGCGACGCCAAACCCTTTGCCTAGGGTCAAGTCGGAAATGGCACGTAACAAGCGTTCTTAATTTTAATTTAGGCCTTAAGATATCTTTAAAAATCTTAGCAACAAATTCTTTGTGAATCAAGTCGGATCCTTTAGATGTATATATCTGGCTCTTGTTCAGTTTATGCATCCAATCGCACCTTTATATGTATACGACCAATTAAATGTTTATCCGTTGATCTGAATTTAATGCGTTTATTCAATGCCGATAAGTGCCCGGTTGTTCACTTTAGTACAAAAAATCTGACTGAATAGACAGTTCTACTCAACCTGATGTATATACGCACAAGCGTTACGTGCCATTTCTTTCTAACATGTAGAACAAAGTACTTATCTTGGCCTAACTGCACTTTACCGGGGGATTTTAGATTTGAACAATTTATATGTCATTCGAAAGAGCTCGGCGAGCTGAGTCGAACGGCACCAAAATTAGCTTTTTTTTTCTTTCTGACATGTAGAACATGGTTCTTATCCTAACAGTATAGACGCATAAAAACGTGATTCGACGTATCTGTTTGGTCGGATAAACTTGACAAGACCCATATATTTTATACTTATTTCAAACTCCATTCCTCTCCCCCTCCCCTCTCAACATTTACTCTTGCAACTTTTCTCTTATGATAAAGATAACTTTTTCGCGTGATGAACGACTTGGTTGGTTAACCTTTTGCCCTTCCAATTTGGGAACAACAATACGTGCCTCTGTACATATTAAATTACCAAAAATTAGTTTGAAAGAAAATTTAAAAAAAATTTGTGAAGAATTAAAATTACAAATTAGAGGAATTAATGGAGAACATACAGAAACCGAAGAAGAAAACAATGTTTTACATTTCTAATAAAAAACGTTTAGGAATTAATGAATTTGAGGCTGTTAAACAAATGTATGAGGGTGTTAAGAAATTAATTGAATTAGAAGAAGAAGAAGAAAAGGAAAATAATTAAAAAGATTTTAAGTGGAGCTGGGTAATATTGAACCTGACAGACCCCATTTTTTCCTTTCCAAGTTTTTTCCTATATGTATATCTACAAAATGGTCGGACTTCTTCCCTTCATTACAATTGCTTTTCTATATTTTGCCCATTAACAATAAAAAGGAATTAATTTTTATTCCCCAGTTTGACTTTTTTTAATTACTAAAAGATAAGCAACGGTTCCAACTGGAAATAAAACAAATATGGGAGATCATCCCGCATACCGTTTTTAAGGTTAAAATAGATTTCACTATAGATACTAAAAAATTAGAGAAGTCATTTTAGAAAGAAAGAAAAATCTACCTGGGCTAAAGCTAGTGTAAAGCAGTTTACTAGTGTAACGCATTTAGCTACTATATAATTCCTAAGTCTGTTCAGTAGGCGGTGTGGTGTGATGGATAACAGAATAACTTTTTGCACTAGCTAAAGGAGAGAAATATTTTTATTGCAAAGTAGTTCAAGATTTATTAAAAAAAGGTGATTTTGAATGTTATACTTTTACATTTTTAAATTACATTTAAATTGTTAATCATTTTTTCACGTTTTTGCTAATATAAAAATACATTGTATTAATAATTTACTCTTTTCCTATTCTTGTAAATTGTCCTTTTAAATAAAATTACATATAAATAAATGTTTTTCCAAACCTAGCATTGTTTTCAAGGATTTCAGACACGATTCTGAAAAATTCTATACAGTGTTGTGTCCAGTGCCGACCTCTAGTTATTATTATGTTAAATATTCCCTTAATATTGAAATTTATAGATAATTCCAAACTTTATAAAAATTTCATACATTTTTGGTCAAATTTTTTTCAAATACTTTCAAATATCAAATAATTTGATAAAATATTTGTTTGACCACTTTTAGAAAAAATCAAATGGCATATTCGCACTCAAAATATGCATTTGTATTTTTGCCGCACCCCACTAATAATCACTACTTATTCCTCATAATAGACCTCAAATCATAATTCCATCAAATCATTTAACATTTCTCTTAATCTCTAGATATTAAACTTGGTTCTGAACCTCGATATATTCAAGGTATACATAATGATGCTGAAAAAAGCAGTTATAACAATAGAAACGTAATCTGAGAAATTAATTTAAGTATTGTTATGAAATAACAATACTTAAATTTCTGTCTTGATATGCAGGCGAGTAATGTCTGTCGATTCCCGGACTGATAAATAAAAATTAGTTTTAATGCTAAAGTTTTAGTTTCAATTTAAAATTAAAAAATTAAAACCACAATTTATCTGATTATATCTTTGTTGATCGTAACATTCTTATCAGTTAATCAGTTATAACCTGAGAAAAATTATATAGAGATGAAAAGAGTATAATGCAGCTCTTGAGCACGTGGGCATTATTTAATGTTGTAAAAATGAATATGGGCATTATTTAATGTTGTAAAAATGTTTAATTTACATAAATTGACGGCGCGCCGAAATTTGCGGATTTTAATTTGCGGACCCGAAATTTGCGGACCCGAACTTTGCGGAACCGAACTATGCGGACACGAATTTTGCGGATCCGAGATTTGCGGACCAAAAATTTGCGGACCGACAATAGAGTCTAATGAACCTCGGAAATTTCAAAAATTTTAGCCTGCGGCGTTAATTGGATAAATTAGGCATCATGGCCTTATGAAATGGCCATATAAATGATTTCTTTAAGGAATTTTCTCGATTATTTAAATTATGAAATAATTTTAAGATAGAAAATTGATAAAAATTTTGAAAAATCAAGAAAAAATCTCGAATCCGGTACGGATTATGGTAAACTCTGCCGGAATCCTCGAAAAATAAAATTTTTAATTTTTCCTTTTTACTCAAGTGTCGGGCTTAAAATCTTGGTTCCGCAAAGATCAGGTCCGCAAACTTCGTGTCCGCAACCTTCGGGTCCGCAACTTTCGTTCCGCAAATTTCGGGTCCGCAAAGTTCGGGTCCGCAAAATTCGGGTCCGCAAAGTTCGCGCCACGAAATTGACAATTATAAAAATATTATCCAGGTTGGAAGTTTTGAGTAAAAACGGATTATCCGCGGATACCCAATGATGGATGTGCCTCAAAAGTTAGAAGGACCTTACGGGGACCTCACGTATTAATCCGTACATGTATAGCAAAAACAATGTTCATGAGCAAACCTGGAAATACTGCATAGCTCTCGTAAACAACTTTTTCAAAGTAAATTTTTTTGCTTTCCTACTCCTATTTTCTTTATTCTTGCCTATGATTCAAAGTAAAAATTTAAATCGTATGAAAATAAATCATAAGATAATCATATGAAAATAAATCTATTGTCGGTCCGCAAATTTTTGGTCCGCAAATCTAAGATCCGCAAAATTCGGGTCCGCAAAGTTCGGGTCCGCAAATTTCGGGTCCGCAAATTAAAATCCGCAAATTTCGGCGCGCCTGAAAGCCCTATCCTCTTTTTCATCCTACTCATATCTTGCAGTCTCCATTATTCAATAGCCTTTAAAAAATTTTTTCCAATTTTTAAAAGAAAAAATGAATACATATTTTCAATATTGTTGAGGATTCTAGAAAATTCCTATAAATTTTTAGTGTTTTACACGTTAGGTCAGTTCTAAATTGAAAAATATTATGCGAAACTTATAACCTGCATAGATTCCAATTGTAGATAGTATTGATGCTCGGGAGAAGAAAAAAAATGGGATCGAGAGTAGGTTCTGGAAATGAACTCGGGAGTCGGGAATTTTTAATATTTTATACAACTGTTAAAAAATTTTCTAAACATCGAAAATTCATTGAAATTTACTGTACATTTCTCCTAACAAAGTTTTCACAGTAAAAATGCTATGCTTTTCTACCCTAATCCTTTCTATTGTGTCTTTTATTACCTGTTAAAAATCATGAAACTAGTTAATCAATGTTAGCTGGAATTTTTAATTTTTCCTCTTAAATTTTTTCAAGCACTATTCACTCCCAAACTCCCCTCTCTCCTTGTTTTTTTTCTCTATCCCTTCTTTTGCCCTTCAATAATATTATTCACGACTATATGACATTCACGGCCTCATGTATATTAAAAATCTTTAAAAAATTTTCCCTCCTTTCTGCCTGTCTATAATTCCCTTTCTTTTAGTAAATTATACCATTATATGGTTTATGTAACACTATAATTGAAATCCTTTTTAATTTTTTTCTCGGCGTTAACAAAATTATTTAAGGAGGATCGTCATTGTTATAATTGCTGAATTGGGTATATCAATCAGAACTTGACAATATTTATGCTAATCATGCTAAGATCGGAGGAGAAATAGAAACAGAAAAATAAAATTCTTAATAAAAAGGAATCGATGATGATATAATTCAGAAACAAAAAGGAAATTTTGTTGAAGAAAGCAAAAAAAGTCTAGCAGTAAAAATTATAATTGAAAACTAATAACAATGTTTATATTATTTTATACTCATTTCTAACCATTCATCGTCGTGTGTAGTTTAACTTTCTCGAATTGTTCCGTTTTTAACTTCGATCTATAATATCAAAGTAAACTAAATTTAAAGCAAAATCAACCATCTGCTTTCGTATTTTTAATTGATTTCTTTATTTTATGCTGTTTCTGGTAACAAGCTTTACATATATATTGTCCGGGTATTGAATAACGGTACCAATTTGATGTATGAGCAACGTCGCAAATAGAACAATTTCGATCTTTTGGTGTTATCTAAATATTCAAAAAAAAGTACGCAAACTTTTGAATTTTCATTTACATTATATCAAGAAGATATACAGGGTGGGGAAAAGTTCGGCGACAAATTTTATTTTGTCCTTTCTTAAAATTTACTTTATATTTTGTTTTTTTGTTTAAATTTCCCATGTTCTATGATTCGCGCTCTACATATTTTATCTTGAAAATTTTTTTCTATCTCATAAATTAAAAATTTTACAGAAAGTCAAATAATCGTGATTCTATTAAGCAACATCCGTAAGCGTTTGGATGCGTGTATTTCAGTCAGGAGCGGTCATTTTGAGAAATTACTTTAAAGAAATGATTATTATATCCTATTAATTATATTTTATCATTTTTTATCTTAAATAAATTTTTTACAATAAATTTTATTAAAAACATATTTCGCCGAACTATTACCCGCCCTGTAATTATTATTTTATTCATACAGATATACGAAAATACTACATAAACAGAATTTAAATATTTACTTAATCAGAAAATCTATCTTTAATTTTTTATAATTATCTTTCTAATTTGTATAAAGACAAACCTTTTTAATTTTATTCCACAATACTTTTGGTCTGTGTTTCCCAACTATTCGATTATAAATACCACATTTGTAGCACAAATAATTTTCTTTTATGTATATATACCATTGTTCAGTTTTTATAGCTCCACAATTTAAACAATGTCGCATATTTTTTTCAATAATTCCACCCATAATATTAAAATTAAATTTTTTAGTAAATGAGCTTATAATCAAAAATAAAAATGAATTTACTTATTTTATTTCCAATGGCAATAATTATGCTTTTTAATTCATTCGAATATTCAATTTTCTGTTTTCCTAACAATTCAATTTTATATCCAATTAAATTAATTTCCGTCCAATAACTTGATAAAAGTTTGTTTTTATAGGATTCTATATTTTCTTTTAATAAATCATTATTTTCTTTAATTGAATTTGATATATTATTATATTCTATATTTCCGTCTAATATAGAACTTTCATAATAATAAACTAAATCGTGGTTACAAAAAATTTGGTTTCATTTAATTTTAAATGATATCGGAGGCTTGGAGGCAAATATTTGTTGTATTTTGATTATGCAATCTCGAGAACACTTTTTGCTCAAGATTTACTGATTCAAAATCTTGATTTTTGTT